TCAAAGATGCTTTTTTAAAAAGCTTAAAAAATTTTAATATTGAATCAAAGGTTAGTTTTTTTTATAAATAGTAAGATAATTTTAATAAAAATTAAAAAAAAAAATTTATATAGATTCTTGGGGTAACGACTGATAATGCCAGCAACAATATTACATTTCTCAAAGCTGTTGAATCTGATCTTTCTCAAAGATACATCTATTATGATAGTGATGATAAGCACGTGCGTTGCTTGGCCCATATAATCAATCTAGAAGCACAACAAGTCCTTACTACCCTTAAAGCCACAGATAATGATGAATCATCAAATGAAGAAGTTGGTAGTTTGATAGTTAAGGTAAATAATTTTATTATATTATTATTATTAAAATTTAATTAATAAATCTATTAAAAAATTGTATTGCCTTTTAGCCTGTCTCTTATACACATCTAGATGTGTATAAGAGACAGGTATTATACCTGAATATGGTGATCCAAGTGCAACTGTGAAGCTTATGAGAACAATGCTGATATACAACTTGAACTTGAACGCCTAAGGGAGTTGGAAGAAGTTCAAGTCTTAATAAATAAACTTGGTTTCAAAGATTCTTTCACAGCTGAGGAATTTGTTCTTTATGACGATTCTGAGGTAACAACGGAAATNCTTGTAAGGGCAAGAAAACTTAAGGAAGTAAGTTTGTTATTTTATTAATTTTTATTTTAATTAATTTATTAAAAACAATTATAATTTTATTTTTAGCCTTTTAATATATTAAGTAACAGTGATTCAAATCTTCGTCCTTTTACAATTAATGAAGATGAATGGATTAATTTATTAGAAATAGAAGAGTTATTGAAGGTTAAATTTTAATAATATATATATAATTATGTATTTTTATAGTTTTATTAAAAATTTTTATTTTTTAGTATTTTGCTAAAGCAACAAAGCAAATTTGTGGGGAAGCATACCCAACACTATCATACGTGATTCCTATATACAATATTTTGTTAAATAAATTAGAGGATTTACGGGATACTCCAAATAGATTTGAAAATGGAAAAGTAAGTTTATTTATATTTAATATTTATATTAAATGTAATTAAATTCCTTTTTTTTAATAGGAAGCGGCAATTAATGCCATTAATAAGCTTAAAATTTACTACAATAAAACTGATTCAACTTTATATGCAGTTTCTTTAAGTAAGTTATTATTAAGTTAATTTAATTTAATTAATTTTAATAATGTTTGTAATATAGTATATAGTTTTAGATCCACGTCTTAAAGTAGAATATATGAAAGATAATGAATGGGAAACCCAATGGGTTGATAGAACAAAAAAAACTGTATGAGTTTCATTTGTTTTATTTAAATTATATTATAATTTTCTTTATTTTATACATACTATATAATAATTTAATAGGTATCTGAACTCTATATAACGTTATATGCACCTCAAGAAACTCAAAATACTAATATAAAATATAATTCATCAGATGAAGATCTTGTTTCACATATTTCCAAATGGCGCCGTATTGAATCTGTAAGTGAATTTGATCGTTATCTTAATGCTGATCGAGCACAAGCTCTGTGTGATACTTTAAATTGGTGGAAAGTAAGTTTATTATTTTAAAGGATATTTATTTAATTAAATATTTGTAACAATTTTTTAATTAATAGCGACATGAGGAAGAATATTCTAACTTATCGAATATGGCCAAGGACTACCTTGGGGTTCTAGGTTTATTACTAATCTGTTTTATTTATTATTCAATAATATTTTTTAATGTAAAAATATTTTATTTGGTAGCAACGAGTGCTCCTGCTGAACGTATTTTTTCCAGCGCAGCTGACGTAATAACATATGATAAAGCAAGTCTTGCACCCGAAACTGTGCGTACAGTTATGTGTCTGAAGCATTGGTTTCGTTCAGGTGTTTTAGATTAAATTTAGGTTTATTAGTTTTTCATATTTAAATTTTGTTATTTGAAGTTAGTTATTTGGATGGAGAAGAATTGGATACTCAGGAAAACTTTGGATGAATAATTTACATCAAAAGAAGATGATTGATATAATTTCTTACGATAACCTCACTTCTTTACAACACAATGTTGAAAATGTATGGAAAATGTGTGTTGATAGCTTTTAATTTTGACAAATAAAATTGTTAACCCTGATTCAATTCAATCAAAGTCTTACGAAAATGCTTTTTCATAACCAATTTAATAAAAAAAAATGGATTGTTGATGTTTTTTTAAACAAACGTTGCAAAACTGTGTTTGTTTCGCAACGTTATTTTTTGAAATAAAAAATGTTTTTTATTAGTTACACCGGTCAAATGATGAAGTATCGGGTAATAACATATCAGGCATGATATGCAATATTAAACGATATATTTAATGGTTTAGTTTATTTGCTTATTTGCGTACAATATTTATCGATTTTTATTTTAGGTATTGTACGGTATTGTATTTATATTGGTTAACGTCATGAAATATTACATGATCGAAGTTTCTCTTAAAAAAAAAAGAAAATAAAGTTTTTTTTTCATTTTGAAAAAAAGTATTTTTTCGTTTTTTCGGTTACTGCAGAGGACGTTGTCCCACCACATCACTGACTGGTCCCATATTTCTTATCCTATGAAGAATATCGTTAACTGGTCCAATATTTCTTATCCTACGAAGAATATCGTTAATGCAATTTTATTCTGGGTTCAATATTCGAAAATAAAGTTGTTGTGAGACGGATAAAACTGCAAGAAAATGTATAAGGATATACACCTAACTGCGGAATTTACTTTATTTTGTGTATCATGTGTGACATCTCCCTTTCTCCTTTTCTGAAAAGGAGATTAACTTTAGTCGTACTATATAGATTTTAGTGGAACTTTCGAATGGGAAAATTTCACAACATCAGTATGTTCCTTATTCTGATGATGTTTATCAATAAGGGAGTTTTAGAAATAAACTTCAAGAAACGAACTGACATTTCTTTTTTTAAATTTATAAGTTTTAGCTTTTCCGGAGAGGACTTTTGGACAGGACCCCGGATATCTAATATAAAGGTCATAATGGACTTTTGGCCAAAAACACCCCTTTTTGCTGAAACTCAAAAAATCGTTTTTTGTAAATATCTCAGCATCCAGTAA